GGGCGGAGCCGGGCCGCCTCTGGGAGCCGCGCTCCCCAGGGTGCCCGAGCCGCGCGGGGGCACCTCGGCCTCGCTCCCTGCATCGACCAGCGCGGGCAGCTACGCGCCTTCGCCCGGTCCTCCTGCTAGCTGGAGCGTCCATTGTCACTTTATAACTCTGTGACCTTGTGCTGTGGTGTCGCCAGCCTTGCCAGAGGTGGTCTTAAACACCTGGCACCTAGTAGGTTCCTGACGGTCTTGGTCAGGACTGGTTGTATTAGGGGGCTGGAGAGGGGCCGGCAGGGCGCCTTGCAGACGCGGGTACGTCAGCTCTCTTTAGGGCTGTCTCGCTGTCTGAGGAAGGGGTGCTCTCCGCACCCCAGGATCGGGGCAGGAAGGAGGATGCCGGGAGGAATTGCCGAGTGTTCTAGGCGGGTGTTGCTGGACCTTTCCTGCGAGAATACAACTCCGCCGTGTATCCCGGGAGGCTGGATCGGTGCACCGTCCCCAGCCAAAAATGGTGTTTGCAGAGAGAGATCCGGGGGGCGGGCTGCCCGCCTGGGAGACTCTGGTCCCCCGATTGTGGATGAGCACCCCACCCCCAGTGCTCTCTTTTCTCTGGGCCCCATAGTCCTGAGGCTTTCCAAGGACTGGGGACAGACGTCTAGGGCGAGGGAAGGCAGGTGGACGTGGCAAAGGTCCGGGCAAGTTCAGGGAGCAGGAGCAGCCGGGCCACCTCGGAAACGAAGGTCAGGCTGCCTGAGTCAGAGCAGCCCAGCACAGGTGCCTGGCCTGAAAGCAGCTGGAGGGGGAGGAGGGGCTGGGCTCAGGTGGGGCTGGGAAGAGGAAGTGAGGTCACCTGGGAGAGGGGGGGTGTCACCTGTGTGGAGCTGGAAGGACCTTAGAGTCTGGAAAGATCTGAGATGAGACTTGGAGGGTTGGGGCTCTCTCCCCCCAAGTCACTTGCGGGCTGGGACAAAATCCCAGATTTCTTGGCGCCCAGCCTGGGGGTCTTCCTGCAGCCACAGTTTGACATGAGACAAGTGCATCAGTGCACAGACAGCTTGAGGACACAACCTGGTGACAGCCTTAGCCCCAGCCAGAGCCCCTTACGCTCAGTGGCCCAGCCCTGCCCAGCTAGTGTCGGTGAGGAGGGAGGAGGGCAGTGTCCTCAATCTTGGGGTCTGGGGTGCACTGGTTGTGTGCACAGGTGTGCCTGGTGGTCTCTCTAATCTCTCCAAGCTGAGTGGGATCCAGCCTGGCCAAGATAAGACACCTCAGGTTCTGCATTCCCTCTGGGGCTTAATTCAGGAGCACTTCCCAAGGCCACACGCCATGCCATGCGTCTGGGGCTTTCATTCCTTTCTCCTGGACTGCCAGAGAAAGACACAAGTCAGGGGCCCTGAGTGTGGGACATCATGCATGGGGGGGTGGGACCTGTTTGGAAACGGGGGGAGCTCTGCAGGGGCCAGGTGACCACACACCCCCGCCAAGGCTTTGTCTGGCCCCTGTCCTCTGCCCCAAACATCTTGGGGAACACTCTAGAGCAAAAGCCACCCTTACCAGCCGCTGCCTTGGGAGCCCCCAAGAGTTAGGAGCGCCGTGGTTTTGGTGTTCTGGTGGAAGGCAGAGGAAGGACCTGCCCTCAGTGGGCTTCCAGGGTGGGGTTAGCAAAGCAGCACAGAAAACCTCTCCCCACCCCAGCTCTGCACAGGCCCCAAAAGGGGTGCACCCCTCCTCCTCCACGTGGTAATGGATACTGATGACTTTGCCCAGCTCCCTAGCAGGGCAAGGTGAACCCTCAACTCTGTGGACCTCGGCCTGCTAGGATTATGAGTAATAATGTCCCTCCCACTAATGGATCACACCTGC